AGGAAAAGATGATGACTGAATATGTTAAGAGCCTTACCGGTCTCTTGAATCAAAACTGAGTGGAAAGAACCCATCTAAAGCAATGGACATCCGTGCAATACCAGTGTACTGTACACTTTCAGGACTGGAAAATGGACTGTTACTGATTTGGAAAGTATTCTGTCAAGATCCCATATGCTATGAATCCACACGCTCTAAGGCATCGCTAGAAGAGAAGAAAAGGATGTGTGTGTGCAGCTATCCTCAGAGAGTGTGGCAAACAGATGAAAAACTTCAGAGAAATACTTTCTTCAAACAGGCAGACGTCACTTTGCCAAGCCGTGGTTAAGGGCGGCTGATGACAGGGGGTCACTGAATTTGTTGAATGTAACCAAAAGGCATTTACTTTATTGGAGGTGCTTGAGAGCAGGGACGGTCTTTTGCCTAAGCACACCGGTGCCTGGCACACAGTAGGTGCTTACTAATGCTTGCTGACTAGCTCACTGACGCCAGTAAGGCTCCAGACGGAGTCTCTAAAGTAAGTAGGACCCTCCTTGGGTGACTGCAGGAATTCAACCAATGATAGGCTGACCCCAAAAAAGCTTCAAACAACGGCTGTCCAGAGGATTTGTTTGTGGAAATAGGTTTATTATGGCAAACGAGGGCGAGAAATCACAGATTCTTAACAGGCCCAGACTTAAAGATCAATATAGAAGAAAACAGAAAAAACTGAACAATGCATAACTGAAGGCTGTACAATATTAGCACCCACCGAATACCTGGGGCAGCTAGGGGCGCCATAGTGCACAGAGTCAGGAAGACACCTTCCTGAGTTCTAATCTGGCCTCAGACGCTTGCAAGCTGTGTGACCCTGGGCAAGTCACTTCACCCTGTTTGCCTCAGTTTCCTCACCTGTAAAATAAGCTGGAGAAGGAAATGGTAAACCGCTCCAGTATCTCTGCCAAGAAAACCCCAAATGGGGTCACAGAGAGTCAAGCACAAGGAAAACTACTGAGCAACACTGAATACCTAGCAAGACGTGACCCAGCCGCTAGGATGTCAGCCCTAAAGCTCATTATCTCCCATGGACTGAAAAACAACAAACCCCCATTCTACAAATAGAGACCTTCAGATCAGCAAGAGAGGGCCTCCAGTAAATTCTCATGAACCACAGCTCTGCCCCGGTCACCGGGGCAGAATGCACATTCCTCCAAACTGAAGAATGGTGTTTTTGATGCCGAGGATTCGCCATCTCTGAGCCAGGTGGAACAAGGAGCCCTAGTAAAGAAGAATGAGTGGGGGGAGCAGGTCAGCCCTGTAATCTCGTCCCTCATCCGCAGCCGGGGTTCTCTGCAGAGGCTTCAGATGAGCTTCAATCCCAACCCTTGTATTCATGTACAAAAAGGAGTCATTTATCCTCCTCTGCGATAGCCCAGAGAACGCGAAATATGAAAGAGACAGAGATTTGTCCCAGGGACGCTTCTACCTGAATGTCACCAAAAGGAAGGAAAGAAGGAGGAAAAGAGGGAAGGGAGGGAGGGAGGGAGAGGAGAGACAGAGAGAGACAGAAGGAAGGAGGGAAGGAGAGAGGAAGGAAAGAATGAAGCAAATATTTATTAAGCACCTCCCATGTGCCAGGCATTGTGCTAAGAGCTGGAGATACAAATACAAGCAAAAAGAAGGCTAGCCTCCTACCCTCAAGGAGCTTACACTCTAATGAGGAAAGAAAACACTCAAAAGAGAGCTGCAAAGCAGGGGGTTGGGATGGGCTGGGAGTGGGGGGTTGGGGGGATGAGGTGGGGGAACTGGGGGAGGAGATGACGGACCCGACAAAGGAAAGGGTTTTCATCCAGAGGAAGTCAGGAGCAAGTCCCAGAGAGGAAGGTAAAAAGAAGTTCATAAAAAGTCAGCATGTTAATGAGCCCCTCCAATTATAAACAAGGGTGTGGGGGGTATATACTTTATACAAGACATTGACAGCTTTTAACATCTGACAAACTTACCAATGTTTAAAAGAAAACAGACTGGCTGAGCAGCAAAAGGGGAATCCCCCTCCCCCGGTCTTGGTGCAGGTCAGCCTCTCACAGGAGGAGGTTAGTGCCCCAGGCTCCTCAGAGGCCCCATACCACTTCAGTTCCTCACTTAGGGTTTGGTCCCTGCTTGAGATCCATCGGTAGATACAAAGAGAGGCAGAAAGCTGGAGGGTGTGATGTCCACATAGAAAACTGTCCTTTTTTAATTAAGCCACCAACACAATCATGTCAGGAGGACCGACAGAGAGTATGGGCTGCACAGTCGTTGACCGTCTGCAGCGACCCTGGTGGATGAGGATGTTGGACACGTCCCAGGCAGCTGACTTAACCACTGGCCCCCCGTGTCACTCAGCTTAGCAAGTAGCTGGTAACAGCCTCCAGCTTCCTGGGCAGAGAAGTGGGCGGGGACTCATTCTGAAACCCTCAGGGGTGAGTCAGCCCCCAGCAAACTCCCAGGTGGTCACCCGGAACCAGGAATGGGGATGGCTCATGTTCCATTGAGGGGGAACAGAGGAAAAGGCTTTAGCTACAGACATACCTGCAGGAAATCAGAGATCCTCCAGTAATAGCCCAAGAGGAGTCCACAGACTTTCTAATACCACCCAAGGAATTCCAGTGTAGCCCCTGAGGGTTTCCAGAGAGCCTGCTGTCTGCGTCCTCCCTCCAGTCCCTCCAACCAGAAAGGTATGAAATCAAAAGCATCACGGACTGCTAGAGACAGCTGCTTGGCCTACAGTGGGCAAGACCTGAGTTCAAATATGAGTAAGTTCAAATATGAACTTATGCACTTACTTAGCTGTATGGACCCTGGACAAGTCACTTCATCTCATAAGATGGGGATAATAATAGCACCTATCTTACCTGGTGCATACTAGGTGTTATATGAATGTTACGTGCAATTATTATTCTTGGGGTCTCTACCTCCTGGGACAGGACCTTCTCTAGTTCTCCCCCCCCCATGTTTCTCTCTATAGAAACTAGGGGTGGAAGGGGGTGGGTGAGGAAAGGGAAACCCTTAGACTTCAGGGGTCCACCAGACTCTCCAAAGGAGCCACATCCCCAGCGACTACAAGCCAGAGTCTCATCTCAGTAGACAGGAGAGAAGAGGGCAAGATGCTTGCTCCGGACAAGGACAAGGTGCTCTGACTCATACTTTGATCTGGGTGCCTGCCAATCTATGTTGATTGGACCCTGTCTGCCTGCAGTGAATGGTAGCTTCAACTTTCTCTCCCACTCCCTCCTCTCTCTCTCTCCCCTCTCCTCTTCTCTCTCCCTCTCTCTGTCTTTCTCTCTCCCCCCTCCCTCCTCTCTCTCTTGCTCTCTCTCTCTCCCCTCCCCTCTCCTCTCCTCTTCTCTCTCTCTCTCTCTCTCTCCCTCCCTCCCTCCCTCTCCCTCTCTCCCCATATTCCCCCAACTCTCCCTCACCAGAGAATGATAACATTTGTCCCTACAATCTTGCACAAGGGGCTACACAAAGACCCCAACACCCCAATAGCCGCCTACGCGATTCTATTCCGTGGAATAGACATTGACAGACCGTGCTACTCCGCAGCACCCCCTAGTGAACAAATGTAGACATGATTGATCAGAGCCCTTTTCCACGCAGGGAGGCTGCCTAAGGCTGGGAAACCTGCCCCGAGAGGGATACTGGGCAAGGGCAGAGACAGCTGTTCAGGACCACCAGTCCCGCCCTGGACTTCATGGCAATCCCCTGGGCCTGGAGAAGGGGGCGGGGGGGAGAGAAAGTGAATTCTGGAGGAGAAAGGACTTCTAGGGTAAATGGCTGAGGGGCTCCAGTGTCTAAGATCTGGGCAACTCCGATCCAGAAAGAGTCCGATGGAAGGGTGGGTGCAGACTTCCATTCGATTGGGCTGCGCCCTCTTCCCTAAACTTCCCCTTCCCCTCCTAGAGCAGTCCATGAGAGAATGGGGATAGGGAGGATTGCTGGGGGCTGGGTGATAGGGGTCAAGGAGAAGAGTGGGGAGGTTGAGAACCAAGGGAGGGCACCTAGAACCCTGGGCTCTGACTCCCTTCCAACATATTGCCTAGACCCTAGACCCTTCTTCAGGGCTCTGTGATTTCCCACAGGCACAGCATGGATCCCCGTCCCCTCCCCCAGATCACCCAGCCTGACCTCAGGTTTGTGCCCTCCAGAAACCCTGCCCCCCTGGCCTCCTCCCTCCTGCCCTCCCCTTCTCGGGCAGACCCATCCTCTCTTGTCCTGCTCACAGAGCTGCCCACAAGACATCTTCTTCCCTTTTTTAGAAGTCATTCGGTGGTGATTTATAGGGCTGCTGCTGCTGAAGGCGAAAAGGGGGGGGGAGGGGAAGAGAAGAGGGGAGAAGAGGAGGGGAGAAGAGAGGAGGGAGGAGAGGAGTAGAAAGGGAGGAGAAGAGAGGAGGGGGAGAAGGAGTGGGGAAAGGAAGGGGAAGAGGAGGAGAGGAGGGGGGAGGGGAAGAGAAGGGGGGAAGGGAGAAGAGAGGAGGGGGAAGGGAGAAGAGAGAGTGGGGGAAGGAAGGGAGGAGGAGGAGGAGGGGAAGTAGAAGAGGAGAAGAGAGGAGAAGGAGAGGAGGGAAGGGAAGGAGGTTGAGGAGGAGGCGGAGGACGAGGAGGAAGAAATGGGGAAGAGGAGGACTCTCTTAGAAAGGGTCCCGGGGCTGTTCTTGTGCTCTGCATCATTGCCATGCCCCCCAAGGTGACAAATTAGCCCAGCGCAGCCCGCCAGCCTCGGGCTGTGGGGCGGGGGCTCCGCCTTGGCTGTCCTCCCACCTCCCTGTGGTTCCTGCCCTCACTCTACAGTGAGTTAACAAAACGTGCACATTTGGGGGGGAGGGCGCGGGGAGGGCCCCCGAGCGCCCCCTCCCTTCCTGGGCAGTCGGCATTCTGCGATCTCTGCGCGCCCAGCCCAGACTACAAGTCCCAGCAGGCTCCGCGGCGGCGGCGGCGGCGGCGAGGGGGCGCGCACGGCGTGACGCAGACAGGCGTGGTGCGACGGTGAGTGGGCGGGCCCCATGAGCCGCTACGCGCTGCCGCTGTCGGTGGCCGGGACCTTCCTGGGGGCCGCCGTGCTGCTCCGGTGAGTGGGGGGCTGCGCTCCGGGCCCCTCGCGGGGGGAGGAGGGCTGAGAGGCCGCGTGACGTCACCGTGTCCCCCGCCCCCTCAGTTTCCCCCCTTCGCCCCATTCTCTGCTTCCTGCTCTGTGAAATGGGCGCCATGCTGCACATGGATCCCTGGGGGCGTGACAGTCTCAGTTTGCGCCTGGACCCCGCAGAAAGAGCCCATTTTACAGATGAGCCAGTGGAGGCCCGGGAAAGTTGAATGCTGGGTTGGAAGCCAGATGCCTCCCCCCCCCCAAGAGGCCAGGGCTTTCTGCAGCCCTTTCCGAGGTGCCCCCTCCCAGTGACCCAGGCCAGGAAAGGACAGAGGGGTCAGCGAAGTGGGCTCGGGACCACGGGCCCATGTCAGTTACCCATAGAATGATAATTAACGATGATCGCAGCTAACCTGCAACGTGAGGGCTCTCAGAGCGCCTTGCAAGCATCACCTCATTGCATCCGAGGACTGTTCTTATCCCCATTTTATAGGGGAGGAAACCAAGGCAGAGGGGACGTGGGAGCTACTGTGATTTCCTTGACATAGGGAGCTCCTCCATGGGGAACCTTTTCTACCAATGCAGATTGGCACCTCCTAATCTCAGAGAATTGCCTAGATCCTGTCTCCCCCCATAGAGATCAAAGAGAGGGGCATAAGATCCATTTGAACAGAAATGTTTATGGCAACTCTTTTTGTGGTGGCAGAGAATTGTAAACTGAGGGGATGCCCATCAGTTGGGGAATGGCTGAACGAGTTGTGGTACATGACTCTGATGGAACATGATCGTTCTGTAAGTATTGTGCAGTACCATTCTGCTGTAGTATTGGAACTGTATCACCTTGGTGATGTAGATATTGTACAGTAGTGTTGTACCATGGAATGCTGTGCTGTAAGAATTGTACATTCCTATTGGACTGTACTTTTGGAATACTGTCCTGTACTACCTTGGTGTTGTAAGTACTGTATAGTACTGTTGTACCGATAGAGACCACCTTGGTGCTGAGGTCCTTTCTCCAACTGAACTGGCAAGCATTCAAACTGTGCTTCAGAGAGCACAGCTCAGATGGGCTGGCCATGTTGTTTGAATGGCAGACAAACGCTCACCGAAAAGACTGCTTTATGAAGAACTCACACAGGACAAACGCTCCCATGGTGATCAGAAGAAGCGATACAAGGACGCTCTCAAGGTCTCTCTGAAGAACTCTGGAATTGATTGTGTGCTGTGGGAGACGCTGGAACAGGGCGGCTCAGCATGGCGTGCCATCGTCAGAGACGGTGCTGTGCTCGAGCACCGTGGGCAAAGCAGAATTGAAGTAATTCAAAATGAGACATGCGGAATTAGAGAATCCAGCCCAAATGTGCACACACAGTCCGACACGTCACCTGACTCTAGCATAGTGATGTGATTTTGGTCCTCGTTGAGAATGAAGGACAACCAACCTTGGTGCTGTAAGTATTGTATGTTACTGTTGTACCGTACTGTTGAAATATTTTACTGTACTATAATACTCTTGTGCTTTGAAAAATGATGAAAGGGACTATTTCAGAGAAACCTAGGGAGACCTAGGTGAACTGAGGCAGAGGGAGGTGAGCAGGACCAGGGGAACAATTGTATAACACCAGTGATACCATAAAGATGATCCCCTTTGAAAGCCTTGGGAGCTCAGGTCCCTTATGTAGTGACCCACCCAGGTTCCAGAGGAGGTAGTGATGGCCCCAGGTGCAGGTGGAGTCTCTGTTTCTGAACACAGCCATGGTGGGGATTTGTCTTCTTTCCTGTGTTTGTTACAAGAGTTTCTTCTTTCTTTTTTTTCTTTTGAATTGGGGATGGAGACGAGAAAGAAAATAAATTCTTGTTTACTGAAAAATAAAATTGAGTTGCCAAGAGCATTGGTGTCAAACACAAACAAAAATGGGACCGCTAAACCATATATAGGGATCCCTGCTGGCATGTACTGGCTTAGAACACCATCTATTCACATCATCTCTGCTGTGCTTCATTTTTAGTTCCTTTGCTCTTCATTTCCCAATTACATCCGAGTCTGGTTCACAGACACCAGCAGAGCCCTGTGGCTGCCAGCTCTGGCCTAGAGTACTGAGGGGGTCTGGCCCAGCCAGTATGGGTCTTGCTGATGCCAAAGCTGGCTCTGTCCACTGCAGAGACGTGCCGCTGCTCCCCATTCATAACAGCAGCAGTCATGAGAGTGAGAGGCAGCAGGGTATAAAGGACTGAGCTGCGTGAGTGACCCTGAGCAGTCACGGAGGCCCCAGGTGCTCTGCTCCAGGTAACATTCTAAGACTGGAAGTTAGAAGAGCGGTGTTGGCCTGCCTCAGAGGAGCCTGTTGGTCTCCTTGGAGTTCTTCGGCCAAGCACGATTGTTGTTATCATGGCCAGTAACAGAAGAGGGAGCCAAGTCTAGAGGGCACACCAGACTGAGCCCTGATGGGGAAATACAGAAAAAGTCACAGGGAGTCATTTGTCCAGACCGGGAGGATGGGCAAGGAGCACACAGAGTGCCGTGGAGAGACTGTGTCCAAGATCCTGGGACATCCCCAGACCCTCACCAGGACAGGTGCCAGCCAGGAGTGCAGCCGACAGTACGTGGGAGGCCCTGGGCTGCACCCTGAGAGAGGAGTTCAAAAGCTCAGGAACAGAGTAGGGTCGCCATTCCAGCATCCAGCACACTCTGAAACCTGCAGTGGAATAACCAGGATGGGAATCCCAGGCCAAAGGGAAGCCGACAGTTCTGTGGCTCTGACCCAGCAGAGCCTGACAGCTGCTGACAAGGGTGGAGTCCAGCAGCATCTACTGTTGCTTGACCAAAACCCAGGTCAGGAACTTGCAGAGCTCAGACTAGAGGTCAGCAATCAGACTTTCCCCTGCATCAGACCCCCTTGGAAGTTCTGAAAGCTGGCTGTCCCTGAGATCCTAGAACAGCACAACACTCAATACCTCAAGAAAGCAGCCAGCCACAGAGCCATCCCAGACCTGCCCACCAAAAATGTGGCAGATCCCAGCTCTGACGTCAAGTCTGAAATCAGAAAGTAGGCTAGGAGAATGAACAAAGAAATCATAGAAAATAATAATCATCCCACCGTAAAAGCTGGTATGATGAGCAGGACACTCGAGACACAAATCCAGAAGAGGAGAATGATTCCAAAACGTCTGCAAGCAATGAGTCAGGAAAATGCAGCCTGGGCACACATTTAACTGGAATTCCTGGAAGAGGTAAAGTAAGGGTTAATTTTTTTTTCATAAATAGAATGGGAGCTCTACAGCGGGAAAATGGAAGAGAAATGAGAGCTATGGAAGAAAGAAGTGGAATTAATCTTGGCACAAGAGGTACAAAGCCTTGCACAAACTCCCCCAAAATTAGAATGGACCAAAGAGAAACCAGCAAGTCTAAGAGACAAAGAGAGATATTATAACAAACCCTAAAGGCTGAAAATACAAAAGAAAATGTTAGGTGTCTCAAAGCAAAAACAGTAGAATCATTGGACTTTCTGGACACCATGGTGAGAGAGACAGAGAGAGAAAATACGCCTAGACCAGAGGGTAAAGTGGAAATTGAAAAAAATCTATTGGTTACTTCCTCAAAAAAGCCCCCAAACAGAAACACCTAGGAGTATTGTAGCTAAAATGCAGCACTTCCAGGTTAAAGAAAAAGTACTACAAGCAATCAGAAAGAAAGAATGTAAGTGACTGAGGAGCCAGTCAGGATCACACAGGATTTAGCAGCTACCACCTTCGAGAAGCAGAGAGCTCGGAATATGATGTTCAGAAGATTTGGGCTTTTAGCCAAGAGTAACTTACCTACCCAGCAATGCTGAGCATAATGCTACAGGACAGGTGTGGGGAGCGGGGATGGACCTCAATGAAATAGGGGACTTCAAATGTTCCTCATGAAAAAATCAGAGCAGACATAGCGAGTTTGAAGTTCAAACACAGATGTGAAGAGAAGCATGGAAAGGTCCCCACGGCGATAAGGGACTTAGCGAGCGTCGGCTAGCTACATTTCAGATATGGGGAGATGACCCATCGAACTTGATCTGGGGTCAGAGAACACGTCTACTTAGACAAGGTCTTGGAGGGGTGGCTAGGTTTTCCTCATTTACTTTTTTTTTATTTAAAATTTTTTTTTTAATTTTGAGTTCCATATTCTCTCCCTCACTCATTGAGAAGGCAAGCAATATATCAGATCTACACGTGAAGTCATGTCACACATTTCCATGTTCATCATGTTGCAATAGCAAGAGCAAGAGAAGAGGTGAAAAGCAATGTGCCTCAGTCCTCACTCAGTCCATCAGCCTTTGCTCTGGGGTCGGGGAGCATCTTTCATCATAAGTCCTCCAGAATTGTCCCAGATCGTGGCGCTGCCAAGTCATTCACAGCTGATACAACATTGCTGTTACTGCTTCAGTATTCTCCTGGTTCTGCTCACTTCACTTTGCATCAGTGCATGTAAATCTGGGTTTTTCTGAAATCAGCCTGCTCATCATTTCTTATAATACAGTCATAGTATTCCATCAGAATTCATACCACAGCTCATTCAGCCATTCCCCAGCCACTGGGCATCCCCTCAATTTCCAGCTCTTAGCCACTACAGGAACAGCAGCTAGAAATATTTACGTACAAATAGGTTCTTTCCTTTCTTCTTTGATCTCTTTGGGATACAGCCCTAGCAGTGCTATTGCTGGCTCACACAGCAGAGGGATACACAGCTTTATAGCCCTTTGGACATAGTTCCAAATTGCTCTCCAGAATGGTTGGATCAGTTCACAACTCCACCAACAATGCATTAGTTTCCCGGTTTTCCTGCATCCCCTCCAACATTTATCATTTTCCTTTTCTGTCATATTTGCCCGATCTGGTAGGCATGGGGGGATACCTCAGAGTTGTTTTCATCTGCCTTTGATCAGTAGTGATTTTTTCACATGACTATTGTTAGCTTAGATTTCTTCTGAAACCTGCCTGTTCATATCTTTGAGAGGAGCTGAAGAGTCCTGTTGCTTGGAGCCCTGAGAACATTCTGTCCGTCTCCCCACAGGGACTCGGTTAGCGGCGGGAGCTGCCCCAGCAAAGCCACCATCCATGGGAAGACAGTCATTGTCACGGGGGCCAACACTGGCATCGGGAAGGAGACTGCCCGAGAGTTGGCCCAGAGGGGTAAAGTCGCCAGCCCTGAAGGCTCAATCCTGAACCCCCTCCCAGAGAGAAGCTAGGCATGGGGGGCAGGGAGCCCTGGACTTGGAGTCAGGGAGTCCTGTGTTTGAATCCTGCCTCAGACACTTGCTAACAGTTGCACCCTGGGCAGGGCGCGTCATCTCTCTGTGCCTCGGTTTCCCCATCTGTGGAATGAAGGGGTTGGACTCAGTGGCCTCCGGGACCCTTTGCAGCTCCAAGTCTGTGATGGGCAGGGGAGACGTGGCGTGTTCCTCAGTTTCCTCATCTGTGAAATACAGAGCTTAGCCTTCAGGGTCTCCTCTGTTTATCAGATACTAGGATTTCAGGGTTGGAAATTCCTGTGGGGGCATCTAATTCCTCTGGTACTTGAAAGACCAGCCCCAGCCAGTCAGACGGCCTTTGTTCAAAGACCTCTCATAATGGGGAGCTCACTACACCCCAAGGCCTACTGCCGTTCCATGGGGGTCAGATCTATCGGCCGGCATCAAGAGATTGTGGAAATGGAGGTAGAAGGGGCCTCAGGCCTGCACGGGGTCACCCAGGTGGCAGTTTGAGCCCAGGACTTCCTGACTTCTGAGTTCAGGACTTGTATCTGCCATGTGCCCCACTCTTTGGAGCCTTCAGAGGGGTCTTTGGGGGGTGGAGGGTGACCCTGGGTAAGTCCCTTCTCCTGTGTAAATGAGAAAGGGGGTATTTGGGTTTGGTGTCTGAGTGCCTTTTCCAGCTCCAGTTTCTGAGTCCCGTCTGCTCTTGAGTCTGTGCCTCAGTTTCCCTTTTTTCTTTCCAGGAGGCCGCATCATCCTGGCCTGCCGGGACTTGGACAAGTGTGAGGCAGCAGCCAAGGAGATCCGGGGAGACACTCTCAACCACCGCGTGGACGCCCGGCGCCTGGACCTGGCCTCTCTGACGTCCGTCCGGGCCTTTGCCAAGAAGATCGTGGAGGGTAGGAAGCCCAGAGGTGGGGCACGTGCAGAGAAGGGACAGCCTCGCACTGGAATGTCCCAGACCGGCTGTGTGACTCAGCCCATGTTAATTAACCTCTGGGAGCCTGCACGCTTCCTTGTCTGGAAGCTGGTGATCCTTGGGCTGCCGGCTCCCCTCAGCCCACAGGACCCCGGCTAGATCTGCGGCCTGGCCTCCTCTCCCCTCACTGCCACCTCCACCGGCCCCCTCGATGCCAAGAGCATGTGGTCCCCTGGTCAGAAAGGGGAGAAATAGAAGCTTGTGCGATTTGGGGTGAAGGCATGAGTGGCACTCACTTGTGCGTCTGCTAAGTGCGACACTGTAGCTGGCAAAGAGGAGGAGCCCCAGGCCCCCCCAGTGCTGGGCACTGAGAGGGGCCCAAGAGGAAGGGCCCTGGGGGGAGGAGAGGGAGGCCTGGGGGTTGGGCCAGAGTGCAGAAGGGGGCCAGGCCAGGCCGTGGAGGCCCTAAATGCCGGCCCTGATCCGGACGTGCACCGTGGGCAGCGGGGGGGACTGGGCAGGGGGGCCTGCTCGGGCAGGGCTGGGTCCCCGAGCCCTTCGGCCCTTTTCCAGAGGAGGAGCGTGTGGACGTTCTGATCAATAATGCTGCCGTGATGAGGTGCCCCCACTGGACCACCGAGGATGGCTTTGAGATGCAGTTGGGGGTCAACTATTTGGGTGAGTGGCAGCCCCTCAGGGGGGTCCTGGGGCGCCCCCGGCACTGAGGTGGGCTCTCTTATTAAGGACCGTGGGTGAAAGGTGGCCCAGTGGTGGCCGGGCACAGAGGGGGAAAATGACTGGGGGTCTCAGCCTCGCGGCCCCTCCCCTGCCAGGTCACTTCCTTCTGACCAACCTGCTGCTGGAGAAACTGAAGGCATCGGGGGCCTCGCGGGTCATCAACATCTCCTCGCTAGCTCACATCGCGGGCCACGTGGATCTCGAAGACCTGAACTGGGAGCGGCGGCCCTATGAGGCCAAGGCCGCATACTGCCAGAGCAAGCTGGCGGTGGTGCTCTTCACTAGGGAGCTCAGCCGGCGGCTGGAAGGTGCGCCTGGGCTCGGGGAGGAGCCTGGTAGCAGGCCTCTGCGCCTGTCAGAGCTGGGGGGGAGGCACCCAGAAAGGCCGGGGCACTTGGGCAGGCGGGCCGAGTCTGCAGACGTTCACGATGCTCGCGCTTGTAGAAATGCTTCCACTTCCCCAACCCCCCGAGGTCCCGTTTATAAAGCCTCTGGGATCTACAGAGCGCTTTCCAGTGGACAGACTGCCTGCCTGCCCGGGGGAAAGCCGGGAGCCCGAGGACGGGCCCCGAGTCTCCTCCTCTGCCCCTCCCCCGACTCTCACAGGGACACGGGTCACTGCCAACGCCCTGCACCCCGGGGTGGCCAGCACTGAGCTGGGCAGACACACGGGCATGCACAAGTCTGTCTTCTCCAGCACCGTCCTTGGTAAGTCCTTCTTCCTCAGGTGTTTGCAGGAGGCCCGGCTGGTCCGCGTGCACCATCAGCTTGCTTGGCCCTTCACTGGCTGGGGGGGTTGGGGGGGAGGTGTCCTTAATCGGGTGTCTTCCTCTCTCAAAGCCTCAGATTCCCCACCTGCCAGACCAGGGGCGTCATTTGATGCCTCTGACCCTGTGTCCCTCTGTGTCCTGACCCCAGGCCCCTTCTTCTGGTTGCTGATAAAGACGCCCAAGCTGGCGGCCCAGCCGAGCATCTACCTGGCTGTGGCTCCAGAGCTCAGTGGGGTCTCGGGCAAGTATTTTAACGCCTTCCGCCAGAAGGACCCAGCTCCCCAGGCTCAGGACGATGAGGCAGCTCAGAAGCTTTGGGCCCGCAGCGCTCGGCTCGTGGGGCTGGAGGAGGCCGAGGTCCCAAAGGCAGCGTCACCTGGGAGAGTCACTGACACGCGGAGCTCATGACCCCTATCTTGGGCACCAGGGTCCCCGTCCCACACCCGTCGGGTTTAGTGCTGGTCATCCCCTAAGATCCCTCCTGCCTCTGATGTTGTGCAGGGCCAGGCCCGGGGGAGGGCCCAGGCCAGCCCCTTTTCTTCCTCATCTGAACATCAGGGATCAGGTCGGCCATGCTGTCCCAAGGCTCCGGAGCCAGGGGGGCCCAGTCTGAAGGCCAGGGACCCCTCCTCAGAGGCGTGGTCCCAAGCGCATGAAGGCTGGGTGCACAAAGGAGCCATCCTACTGGAATACAGAGCGGCGTATGCTTAGACAGGTTATCAGATCCTGGCCCAAGAGCCCCTGCTCCCCACTTGAGGGATCTCCTGGGAGCCCCCTCCGGCCAGGACCCTGGCCACGAAATGGTTTTTAATTCATAATGGAAGGAAATGCTTGATTTCAGTTAAGAGTCAGTGAAAATAAAGATCCAGTGCTTTCCTCCAAGATCACTGATTCCCTGAAATCCATCCGTTGACCCCCAGGTTAAGGCCCCTTGGTCTAGGCTTTCAAGAAGTCTCGAGCTAGGAAGGAAGGTGAGAGACCGAGGCATGCAGGGGAAACCTGGAGAAGTACACCCCTCTGGCCAGCGGCCATGTTTGCTGCCCAAGAATAAGCCAGAGCCTCCGTTTCAGGATGGACTGAGAGGAGGCGGCCCTGGAGGACAGCCGGCTGCAGTCGGCCTAGGTAGAGTTCGGCCCATTTGGTCGCTGGGTTCAAGCTCCTTGGTCTGGGGCAGAGGCACTGGGGAGGGGTGGGGTGCTTCCACACATTGGCTTATTGGCTCGGCAGAGATGCTGCAACTCGATCGTTCAGTGCCTCTTGGCCAGATGGCTGATCTGCCCGGATTGCCTCCTCTCGGCCCAGCGGTCTCTAGCACACTTGGCTCACCCTCCAGCATCTGCCGCCCTTCCTGCATTTCCTCCCTTGAACGTGCTCTGGCTAGCCCCCTCTCCCCACAATGTACCCCCACCCTGGTGTGCACTGAGGCCACACGGGTGCCTTTGGGGGCATCTCGCCCAATGATCTCTACAAGTGTCCAAAGAACGCTCAGCTGGACATTCCTTCCCATGTGGGCAGGCAGGGAGCCCTCAGGAGGGGGCTGGCTCAGACCTGGCTCTGCCCCCTTCCCCTTTCTGTGCTTCAGGCTCCTTGTGTGTAAAATGGGGTGGGGGGGCCTTCCAGCCTCCAGAAGTCCTCAGAGCTGGATGGCCCCTCTTCCCCCTCCTTCCCCCAGCCGGCCCCCTCTGACTGGGGCCCTTCCAGCTTCAGCCCAGATGCCCCTCCCTGCCTCTAGGCAGCTCTCATCTGTGGGAGGCCCTCCCTTGGCCCAAGCTCTGAAAAGGGCAGCGACACCCCACTTATCAGACGGGCAGAGGGTGCAAACCTGGGCAGGATGACAGGCAGACAGGTTGGCTGCAAGTCGGGAGCCAAAAGGAGCTCAACAGATTGATGGAAACCATGGCCGACTCCACTGAGCTCATGGGATCCCTAATGTGGAGCTGGAAGATGTTGGGAAGCCAAGGCAGGAAGAGAAGAGGAGAAACAAAACCTCCTCGGGCCAGCTAGGTGGTGCTGTGGATGGAGCACCGGCCCTGAATTCGGGAGGACCCAAGTTCAGATCCGACCTCAGACCAAACACTTGACACTTACTAGCTGTGTGACCCTGGGCAAGTCACTTAACCCCAACTGCCTAAAAAACAAAAAAAAAAACAGGAAAAAAAGAAAAGAAAAGAAAACCTCCTCCACCAGGGCTTAAAAAACCATAACCAGAAGTGAAATAGGGGAGAGTGATGAGTCAACGGCTGGCTGCCAGAAAAAGATCTGTGGGGCTCGGTGGACAGTGTGCTGTGAGGGCCAAGAGTAAGAGAGCTACCGAACCTGGTGTTGAGGGCGCCTGCCCAGAGAGTCAAGTGGCAGGGCAGCCCAAGGTCCCCATCAAGTCCTTCATTTTACACAATGGGAAACCGAGGAGAAACTGAAGGCCTTTCCTGAGGCTCTGCGACGAGTCAGTGGCACATCTGGGGTTAGAACCCAGGAGGCTCAGCTGTAAGGACCCCTTGAGACTTTGCCTCCCCACATGCTCTCACCTTGTGGTGGTGGAAACAGCAGCTCGTTTTGGGGAAGGACCTCCTGCAGAAACTCCAAGGATAGGGTGCAGGCCCTCCGCTGGACCCCTTTGGAGTCAGAGGGAGTGGAACCCAGCCTGCCACGCCCTGGGTGCAGGTCCTCACTCTTGGGTCAATGATTTCCCTCTCTGGGCCTCATTTCCTTATTTGTAAAGTAGACATTGTGCAAGATGAGAAGGAGAGGAGAAGATGACAGCACCACCTACTGTGTGCTAAGCCCTGGGGAAAGGGAGAGAAGATAACAGCACCTACTGTGTGCTAGGCACTGAGGAAAGGTAGGGACGATGACAGCAGCACCTACTGTGTGCTAAGCACTGGGGAAAGGGAGGAAAGATGACAGCAGCACCTACTGTGTTTTAGGCATTGGGGAAAGGGAGAGGAGATAGCCACACCTACTGTGTGCTAGGCACTAAGGGAAGGGAGAGAAGGTAACAGTAGCACCTACTGTGTGCTAGGCACTAAGGAAAGGGAGAGTAGATAACAGTAGCACCTACTGTGTACCAGGCACTGGGCTAAGTGCCTTACAGTTATCTCATTGGATTCTTGTGACAGCCCTGGAATGGGTTAGTATCTCCATTTTACAGATCAGGAAACTGAGGTAGAGAGGAAGTGACTTGCCCAGGGTCTCATAACTAGGAAGTGTCTGAGGCTAGATTTGAACTCAAGTCTTCCTGACTCCAGACCTGGCTGTATCCACTGAGCTATCAGCTACCTTAAGAAGACAGAGAGAAAGCAGGAGGGCAGAGGGTGCGTGGGGGCTGGAAGCCCCAGCGGCTGGTCGACAAGAGGAACGTGACCCACATTGTCCACCTCAATTGCCTCGATCCCGGCCCCTGCCCTTCCGCCCTTTGTCCACACACCGGCCAGACCGGCCGCCACCCTGGGGCTCCCGCCCTGTGAACAAACAGGACCAACTTTGGCATTCCCTGCTCAAGCCTCTCCTGAGCTGGCCAGGCCGGTTCCTCTGATCTCCACCCAGCTCCCAGCCTTCTCCCGCCCCCGCCCCGGGCTCTAGCTAACCAGGGGACCCAGGCTCCCACTGTGGCTGGGGGGGGAGGGGCCGCCAGCCCGGCCTGCCCGGCCCTCCAGAAGGGGGTACTCACTACCTGCCAGTCAAGGCAGCCCCTCCCACCCAAACAACGCGCAAGTATTTAACACCTGCTTCATGCTGGGCACCAGGGGCCAGGGGAAAGTCAACCCTCCCGGGCCCAGAGAAGCAAATCCGCTCAGTGTGCGGGGCTTCACAGGGGAGAGGGCCCTAAGCTGAAGGACCGAAGAGGTGCAGCCCGGGGGAGACACGGCCAGAGCACAAAGGGTCTGTCGTTTTGGGAGCAGGAGAGGGAGCCACTGAGAGTGCTTGAGCAGGGGAGTTACCTGGTCAGAACTGTGCTTTTGGCTTGAACAAAAGGAGAGAACACAGGGAGCTGAGGTGTAGATGCACCGTGCTTAGCTCAAGGCCTGGCACACAGCAAGCACCTCATAAACGCTCCTGGACAGTGCTTCACAGAGCCCTGCACACTAAGTGGTTTCTCTGCTTCTCACTTTGTCTTTGCATCATCTCCAGCCGTTCTGGCCAGCTAACTTCCCTAAGTACGTGCCTTTGCCCAGGCTGTGCCCCCTACCTGGAATGCCATCCCTCCATGCTTCTGCATCTTAGACTCCATAGCCCTGGGTTCACCACCTAGCCATCCCGGTGCCCCCAGGCTCTCGACTGCTTGAAATCACATCCACTATTCCTTCGTGAATATTGTCCCTCACTGTTCTCTGCCCTCCCTCAGGATGGCAGCTCCTTGGAGGCAGGCACCCAGGGCCAGGCAGACACACACAAGGCCCTGCTCCATGTTCACTGAACGCTTTGGGCTCAGAGGATTTGCCAGGGTCACACAGCATGAGAGGGGCAGACCTCCTGCCAGCAGGGGGGAGGAGAAGCAGCCTCAAAAGTGCCCCCCCATCTCTGAGCCTCGGTTTCCCCCTCTGTAAAGCAATCCTAACAGCCATTTCCTCAACATTTGAAGGCTCCCAAATCGGCCTTCTCAAGCCCACCCCAGCACCCAGGACGGAGCAGGGTGGGATTAACATCTCCATCTGAGGTGGTCCTGGTGGCTCAGAAGCCTGGTCCCTCTCCCAGACCAAGGTCTTTCTGCCTCAGGTGCACCTGAAGAGAGAGGGCTTGCGTGTCAGGGGTGGGGAGGAAAGAGAGCAGGGGAGGAGGAGGAAGCAGGGACGGAGGGAGGGAGGGAGAGAGGGCTCAGTTTCGGTCACACCCAAGGCCAACCACAGGCTTGGGGCCCCTGGGGGCGGCCCTCCCTTCCACTGTTCCCAGGACCTAAACCACTTGGCCTCTCCTTCCAAGGACCCAGGCATCCTGATCCCCCAGTCCCCACCTCCCTTAAGGACCCAGGCTCCTGAGCACCAGCTACCACTGGCTGGAGGTTCCAGCTCCACCTCCCAGGGCCACACCCCACCAGGTGAAGGCTTAGGTATGTGGGGGAGGCGGGGCACCTAGCTTCTCTCTCTCTCTCTCTCTCTCTCTCTCTCTCTCTCTCTCTCTCTCTCTCTCTCTCTCACTCTCTCTGGGACTGGAGCCTAGGCCTGCCGTGCTGGGGAGGCTCCTTCTCCTGAACACAGCTGCATCTGCCAGACAGGACATCAGTCCAGGTGAGCCCCAACACAGGAACCCCAGCATCCTGTGCCCCCAACCAACTCTTTCTGCAAGAAGCTGGCCTTCCCTCCCCAACCCAGGTATTCCTCAGCCTCTGCCCCCTCAAAGATTCCGGCGTCTCAGACCCCAGAGGCACAGACTCCCAGGCCCCACTGCTCAGGGACCCGGGCGGCCCACACCCCATTCCAGGGGCCCTGCCCAGAGCGCTCCCCAGTCCCAGGTTCCTCGGCTCAGGGAACAACCAGATACGAAGGTCCCAGCATTTGCCAGCTAAGGCCTCTCTTCTCCCTAGGCTGGAAGCCCCCGCTCCTGGAGCACCATGACCAGCCCAGCAGGGTGAGTGTCCTTCCCCTGGGGCTAGGAGCCTCCTGTGCCCCCATCCTCCCTCCTCCCTCCTCCCTCCCCTCCGGGCCCTTCCCTTCTTTCTCCCAGATCTGCCACTCAACGTAGGGCTCTGGTGGAGGGGAAGGGGGAGGGGGTACCTGAAATGCTTCACCCAGTGACCCTCCAACCCTCCTCCCCAGGCCCATTGCAGCCCCCAAGCCCAGTGCCAAGTCCATCTATGGTGAGTCAGGGGCCACTGACCGCCCAGGCTGGGGTGGAGGCCGGGATCTCAGGATGCTTGGGTCCCTGCTGGGTCATGGGTCAGGGACCCAGT